TGTTTCTTTCTAAGGGAAATGTCGTCTATAACAGAGTGATTTCAAGGCTGCAGCAGGAACTGTGGACTGTGCTAGTGTAGAGATTCTTCACACTCTTTGCCAGTGTTCAGGGCTCATAGCTGAAAGGTTCTCGAGTCCTCACTTGACTCTGTGACTCTACTGTAGCATTTCCATACCATCACACTTCTGCTATTTGACTTGCCCACACACAAATCAAACAGTAGACGGAAGTACATTGCTGATAAGTCTTGGTTTGTTTGAGGCTTTTCCACTCCTTTAAGTATGTGGCCAATATGTGGCTCAGAGTCAAAAGGCTCCATTTTCCTGGGAAAAAACCCCCTCTATTTTTTATGCAGTCAGTCATAAACTGTTTCTTACTTTCTTGCAGTCATGCCTTCACCACAGCACTTTGATGGTCATGCCATGGTGTCGTGGAATGATCCTGATATCACCATCGCTGTGCCCTGGTACATCAGCCTAATGTTTCGCACCAGACAGAGCAGTGGAACCGCAACCCTAATGCAAGTCAACGCTGGCGACACATCTCAAGTTACCCTTCTGGTGAGTGTCAGATATAATACAGGTCATTCTCATTTGATGTCAATTAATTCTTATACCATTTCCTAATCAGGCATGCCATTTTAAACCATTTCCTGACTTTTTCTAAGTTAAGGGACAAGTATGTGCGGTTTGAAGTACTTCTGGGAGAGCAGAAAGTGGCCACGCTGGATTTCCCAGAGGTCCGAGTGAATGATGGGGAATGGCACCACCTCCTCGTGGAGCTGAGGAGCAGCAAAGATGGGAAGGACACAAAGTACATGGCACATGTGTTCCTGGACTACAACATGGTCATGGTCAGTTCTGTGGTTACACCGTCTTTACTAAACAGAACTGTCCTTTGATGAAACCTGTTTACTGAAGTCTTCCATGCTTTACAGAAGTCAGCAGAGATTGGAAATGAGCTGCCTGGACTCAAGCTGAGGAGCCTGTTCATTGGTGGACTTCAGGGACAGAGTAACAGCATCCAGCAGGGTTTTAAGGGATGCATGCAGGTGAGGCCTAGAGAAAGCATTTGAATCTTTCACCTTGCATCAGACAGTAGCAGTTGTGAATTATATATGTGACTCTGGAGCACAATGGAGCATGTGACTCTCAATATTTAGATTTTTTT